GCTATGCTCTTGTTTACTAAGGCAAAGGGCTAATTTATGTCAACTAATGATATGAAGTAATAATAAATGTAAAATAATAATACAAATATAATCATGTTATTATAAATTTAAGCTAAATACAGCATTATCATGAAAATAATTCAGTTAATAAAAGCACTGCACCTGGTAATTATCAGTTGCAACAAACAGAAAGAAAAATTACATCAAAATTGCAATTAGTAAACATAACTTTTCAACATTTCACTGCTCGATTTCTGCCCAAATATCTGGAACTGAAGGAGTCTGACAATGTGGCAATTTACGTTAAAATAGGGCAAAAATAAACAAAAGATTTAAAAATGACTGTGCTATAAAACGTATTACTAAATGGTCCAACATTGGAAATCATTTTGCTTTGCTTATTTATTTACTTTGCACTTGTGTTAGTCCTTTGCATTTGAGTTCAATTTCATGAAAAGACTGCAGATTGCTGTTAACACTAAGCAATAAAAGTTAAAGTTAATAGTAAAAGAGTAAGAAGTGATGATAAAACAGAAAACACAACAAAGTTTCACTGAGAAAATAAGACTTCTGGATCAGTGTATGTTAAGATTTGTTGTGTAACTGTTAATGATCAATCAAGTAGATTAATCTCTATACAGGTAAGACCAATGGTTTGACCTCAAATTAACACTCTGTTTATTTTATGTCTGTGAAGGTTCATCCAGGTCATCACAGTCTAAGGAGCTGGAAAGAAAAGCATCTGGAAGTTTCTTGAACATGTTTTATCTCTCATCTGAGAAGCATCTTCAGTTCTAAGAGCAATTGGTGGAATTCTCTAAAGTCCAGGCGTGTTTCTTTCCAAACTCCTTAGACTGTTTATTTTCTATTGGCTTGATGGAAATTTTCATTACAGTAGATGTCTTCAAATATTGTGAAGTTTTCATAGTCTTGTTCTTCATCTTCATATTGGGCACAGGCACTCTGTTGTTTGGAGGTCTGCTTCTTCAAGTACATCACAACTTCTTGGTTTCCATAAATCTATTCAGACACCAATTAACACAATGTTAGTTATGTATTTTGGAATCTATTATGAAGCAAAGATTTTAAAAAGTATATTTCCTGCATTCAAACTAAAGTTGCCTTTTTAATGCAAGTTTCCACCAATGAGTATAACAACACAGGCAAGCTTATATATCTCAACTTACATTTACTCAAGTGCCTTGAGGTGTGACTACTTTTGTGATTTTGTTTTATAATAAACTGAATTGAAATTAGTGCAAATAAGTTGCATGGTGCCAGACATTTTTCATTGTTGAGGTGTAGCAGGATTGCTCCGAGCCCAACTCGAATTACTGAACTCCGCACATACCTCTAAAAGGAAAAGGCAGCAAGATTTAATTTTCCGCCACATTTACTTGTGATCTCATTCTTTCATTCACTACCCAGTGTTGCAGTCACTGATTTAAATCAATTTAAATGACTGACTAAAAGTGGTTTCACTTGTTCTTGATTTACGGTATTGAGAAATGGTTAGAAAAGTTTAATGGCATATGATATGTCAGTACTCACTGATTTTAATTTGTCTTTAACTTTAAAGGTTTTTCCAGTATATTGGTTGACTATTCACATAATTAGAATTTTTTTATTCTTGAGTTAGTCTGTTAAGCCCCAGGGATGTTTCTGAGGTTCCTGTTTAAAAATCACATTCCAATGGTGAATTGACCATTTCTCTGCAAATACAAACTCTGTAAACAATCTTGGTATCAAAAGAAAACTAAAAAAATATACAGAAGTTTTTCCTGGCCTGGTCTTTTATAGCATATAACCCCCTAAAAATATGCTGCAGTAGATTAAAAACTGAAAGAACCCACAAATCAATATATGGACATTACCTGGGCAAAGATTGCTCTGCTTCACCTCAGCAAATCAGAGTTACAGAGGTTTTATTAGGGACATAGCTGAAGGTTTTGTAGTTTGGCAGAATTTGGAAGTTTAAATTTCTTCAGCATTGAATAGCAGAAATAAGGCTTTGTCAGAGGTCATTTTTGGAGAAAAATAATTAAATAATTAAAAATGGTTTGTAATAAGCAAGCAAAAAGG